GCCTTGATCTCGGCGATGACGCAGTCCATGTTCAGGTCGCGGCTGTTGTCCATCTTGACGACCACCGAGGTGTCTGAGATGTGGGCGTGGAGCACGCGGATCTCCTGCGGGGGGGTGGGGGGGTGGGGGTAGAAGAACAACCGATTCACCGATGTTTCTTTGCCCTTCGCTGCCAAGGCCTCTAACCTCTGACTCATCTGAACCAGAGCCTCATGTTCAGAGCAGAAAAATCCTCTGATGAAGTTGTACAACATTTGGTATAGGAAAGATGCTTTTCAGTGGGAAATCATCACTTCTCAAATGCTGGCTCCTGGGATTCTGCAGCCCCACTCACAGCCAGGCCACCCCCTGCCAGCATCCTGCAGGTGCTCCCCGGGGCCTGGCCGTGGGCTCCTCGGCCCCCTAGCCCAGCCACACAAAGGAGCCTGCTGCTGCCAGGGGACCCTCAGCCACGTGCAGCAGGCCACGGCCCCAAGGCTCCCGCCTGGAGCTCCCCCTCTCCTGCCTGCCTGCCTGCCCGGGCCCGTCCGGGTCCTCATCCCCGTTTCTGCTTCTCGTTGTGCGGCCCCCAGGCTTCCAGCCTTGAGCCTGGGCTTCCCGGTCTGTGTCTGTGCTCAGCAGCCTCTTGCATGCTCCTGGGGGTCTGTGCAGGGATTCGGGGGTGCGGGCCGGGGCGGGGACCCCCTCACCTCCTCATACTCTCGCCGCAGGAAGTCAATCTCCTGGGTCAGGGCCTCCACGTTGGCCTCCAGGTCTGACTTGCGCAGGTAGGCGCAGTCCACCTCCTGTGGGTTGGAAGGGTGTGAGCAGCTCTCGGGGACACGGGGGTGCTGTGTGCGGGGCAGAGAGGAAGGGGCTCGGGCGGAGCTGGGCTTCAGGCACTGACCTTCTTTAGAGCCACGAACTCATTCTCTGCTGTGGCCCGAAGCGCAACTTCTTCTTCATACCTGTGGTGGTGGAGAGAATGCAGACCTGGCTCAGGAAGTGTGCAAGCAGCCGGGCCTGGCTCCAAGGCCCCCCTTGCCCGTCCCCCTGCCTCTGAAATGGGGGGAGACGAGGAAGAGATCCCAGGCCTGCTGGGACATGCCGGAGAAGGGAAGCGGCCGTTGTCACTCACCTTTGAGCTTTTTGGGAGTAGGAGAGAGGCAGAATCTGGAAAGTGTGTGTGTGTGTGTGTGTGTGTATGTGTGTGTGTGTGTGTGTGTGTGTACGGTGACAGACTGTGAGGTGCTCCCAGGTCTGTGTTTTCCTTTCCCTTTGCCTCTGACCTGCCTCAGGCATTAGGCTCCTGCAAGTTCCCTTCGGGCTCAGTCCAGAGACCTCGAGCCCGCCTCTGCCGCTCTGTGGGGCCAGGCTGGGAGCGTGGTGGCCGCGGCGGTGGCTGGGAGTGTGACTGAGGGGGCCGGAGGGCTCCTTTCCCGTAGCTGCTGTGCTCCCTGTCTACAAGGTCCCACCCGGGAACCGGAGGCCCGTCTGGGAGGACGGCACCTGCCTACAAGCAGGCTCTCTGCCCAGACGGCGTCTGCGCTCGTCCCTGGACTGTCACGCCAGGCTGGCGTCTGATGGCCCCCGGCAGCTGAGTGAAGGGGTAAACGTGGGAGCAGTGTCCTGGGCGTTGACGGCAGGACTCCAAGGATGGTCATCTTTCTGGGGTTCTAACAAAAGGGTCTGGTGATGGAGACAGCCCCCTGGGGGGCTGGAGGAGGACACGGCGAGCCTTCAGGATGGCCAGATCACCCCGGCCCCTTGAGGGAGGGCAGGGGAGCAGTCACGTACGTCCCTGTCTTCACCCAGAGACCCACACAGGCCCAGACACTCCCCCGTGTTGGACACTTCCTTTAAGCCCGAGCCGGCGCCTCTGGGCACTCACTTCTTCTTGTAGCCCTCCAGCACCTCCTGCACGTGGTTGAGCTCCGCGGCCAGCCGCCCGCTGTCGGCCTCCACGCACTCGGCCTCCCGCCTCAGCGTCTCGATGTAGCCGTTGAACAGCGGCTCCAGGTTGCTCTCGCAGCACTGGCGGTTCTGGTAGAACTGCCACTTGGTCTCCAGCAGCTTGTTCTGCTGCTCCAGGAAGCGCACCTGCAGCCCGGGGCAGAGTCTGAGCATCGCCTCGAAGGGCCCATGTGCAAGCGGGGGTCTCCACCCAGGCCCTGCAGCGCCACCCCTCTAACCCGGGGCCCTCCCTGGGGTTGTGTCCTCTCCCCCTGGCCCCAGCAGGGCTGAGTCAGCTCACGGCCGCAGGGCCTCCCTGCGAGCTCACCTGGATTATTCTAGGGTGACTTATGGAAAGTGCTAAGCCACGCTGAGTCCAGACTCTGCTGGTTTATAACGAGACCTCGGGCTCAACGTCACCCTCTCCAGAGTGCGGGGGGGCGGGGCGGGGCGCTCCCCTCCCTCGGAGGGTTTAACGAGCCCTGGTATGAAAGCACCCGCGCCCTGAGCGGCTGCCACACCGGCTGGGTGCCCGTGGGCATGCCGGTGAGCAGGCCAGCCTTTTTAGGAAGACAGGCGGTAACAGTCGAAGAATACAGCATGTGCCAGTTAGCGAAACCCTGCACCAACCACGCAATTGGGGGATAGCCCGACGCAGTGCGGGACGGACGCTCTGTTCCAAGCGCTTTCCTGACCCAGGAGGCTGCCAAGGCTGGGGCAGGGGCCACCCGTGGCCTGAGGTCTCAGGGGCAGAGGGGGCCCTGGCTCTGCTGTCTCCCCACAGAGGGGCGCTCTGCGCACGGCAAACTCACAGACGATGCGGCCCAGGGGTGCATGTCTATCTGCCGGCCACACGCCGGCTCACTCCTCTGCCGACATCCTCCGTCCACTGACTGGCCAGCCCTCTGGCCAGTCCTTTCTCGGGCTATCCTCGCGCACTATGCTGTGAGGAGTTTCTGATTTGGGGGGCCCTGCTGGGGGGCCTTGTCACGCAGGGTGACTTCTCTCAAGGCTGGCTCTGGCTCCCACAGGCCCCTGCAGGGGCGTGATGCCCGCGGAGACCGTGAGCACAGACTTCGGCTGGGTGCCTCGGCGTGTCCCTGCCTCTCTGGGAGGCGGGGGTGGACGGCAGCGTGGCCCACCCCCGGGGACAAGGCTCTCTGGCCCCAGCACAGCAGATAAGTAGCCTCTTGCAGAGAAACAGCGCTGCCTGACCCGAGCCCCTCCAGCAGCCTGCCTGCATCTCCCCCCTAGCCTCGCCCCGGGCACGGGGCCCGTCCTGGCTGTGTGAGAGGCTGCTTGGCTTCAGATGTGTCAGCGCCCACTGAGCCCCGACCTCAGCCCAGGAGCCCACGCGTCGCTCAGGGCGGAAGAGCCTGCCCCCATTTGCTTATGCGTTTTGATTCCGCCTTCTGCCTCCGACAGCAGCTCCTGGTGCCGCTCCTGCCCTTGTTTGCGCCCAGAGGTGCACCTGCCTCTGGGTTTGGGTGGGGAGCTCTGACCGACAAGGGCCTTGCCTCCGACTCCCGGCTCAGTGCCTAGTCCTGCGCATGCGTGGGGTTCAGGAAGGGCGTGATCCAGGACACCCACCTTGTCGATGAAGGCGGCAAACCTGCTGTTGAGGCACTTGATCTGCTCCTTCTCCTCATGCTTGACGCACTGCGCGTTGGGGTCGATCTCCAGGTTGAGCGGCGTGAGCAGGCTCTCGTTGACCGACACGGTGGTGATGCAGGGCGGGCTGGGGCCGCACACGCCGCCGGAGCGGTACCCGAAGCTGCTGCCGCAGGAGCCGGCACGGAAGCCCCCGCAGACGCTGCGGCTGCCGAAGCCGCCGGTGATGCCGCGGTAGCAGGAGACGCCGCGGTAGGGGGCGGCGCTGATGCAGCAGCGGCCGGGCCGGGGCCCGCAGGCCGAGGCGCAGCTGAAGGCTCCGAGGCGAGCAGAGAGGCAGGGCATGGTGGGGCGGGCGGCGGTGTGTGGCGGCTGGACCCCGAAGCCCGAGCTGCGCCTTATATCGCGGCCCGGGCCGGGGAGGGAGCGCGCGGCCAGCGCATTTACGAGCTTGGGGTCGGGCCTCGCGCCTCGTCGGGCGGGGAATCAAAGCGGGCCGGGTCGCCTCCATAAAACGGCTTCGCCTCCTGCCCGCGCTTTATGGAGCAGGGAAGGGCCTGCTCGGCGCAGCAGCTGGAGCGCGGCGGCCGCGGGGCGCGCCCTTCGGTCGGGACTCGCG